GCACAGCGAGCGACGACGCTGGGTCTACAATGCATCGATGACGGCAGCATGCCGAGGCCATCCATAGCCTCTAATATGCATCGATTGAGCTCAAGGGTATCGTCCCAAATATTTGCTTGTTAAGGGCTTATAGCATGAATAATTCTATGTTTTTGACTTGGTACTAAACGGCGGCCGTTCATCGCGTTACTTGACCTTCACGCATTGTCTAGGGGCACTAAATAGTATGTTGGCTGATGGCCTCGTCGAGCGCGTCAAGTTCCTCGGCTAGGTGGCGCGGGATCGATCGTGGCAGCGCGACGGCGCTGAAAATGTTGTTGTTGGTGGCTTGGACTGCGGAGTACGTGGCATCCTCGCCCAAATGGCGACGATAGTCAAAACTACGTGTTGAGCGCAGCGCGGACGAAGCCAGACCACTGGATCACAGATTCATACGTCATCTTGACGTGGATGTGGTGTCTGGCGCCTTTGTGCGTTTCGAACAAAGTCCTCGGGCCATGGAGCGTTACTTCTAAATTAGTCGACGATGCCGTCGCACGCGGTCGCTGCCGCGCCACCGACCTCGTACATTGTGCCTGTGACGTCGCGTCCCAAGCTCACCCACGCGGTTTTCGGGCTTCTCTACCTTCTCACGTCGCTCAGCATTGGGCTCTCGTACCTCTCGCTCCTCGCCCCCAGCCTTTTGAACGACCTTTGGTGGGCGGGCTTTTCGCCCACAGAAGGGGGAGCCTTTCTCATTGATATCGTCAACGCCCAATTGGCCCTTGTGAACGCAACGTCGCTGGACATTTACGCAATCGATGCAGCCATCAAGAAACGCTACAACGCGTCCAGTGCCACCACCAATCTATCGCCGACATATGCGCGGCGCATTCTCTTTGCAGAGCTCACGTCCATCGAGTATGCGGTACCGCAGCTGCGAACGCTCAGCGCCTCCTGGGCCATGCGCATGAACGTGCAGTATTGCTATGTGGACTTTGACCAAAACTTCGAGGTCGCGCACACCGCCCGCCGCCAGCGCCGCTGCAGGCGTCAGTACGCGACGAATGGCGCCGTGTACCTCGAAGCAATCTGGCGCAATGTTGTCTGGGCAGACTACATAACGACGTGGGGTGGTGACGGAGGGCGGTTCTCCGTGGCCTATCAACGGGGCCTGCAAGAGACGTTAGTGGGACGCAACTTTCTAGCCAATGTGGCGCACGCGCGCAACTCGACAACAATGGACGACGAGCTAAATTACTGGCGACAATTTCGGATAAATCGGTTCCAGCTCCAGTGGCAAAACCGGTGGCAGCCCGGCGTGACCGAGACCATTCTCTTGGAGAATGCGATTGGGCTACAGCAGCTCGTGACGATCAAGGACGTGTCGCAGGGCGTTGGGTCGTGGTCGTCCGGCTTGCTCTTTTGGATTCCGCTCAATGACCTTCGGTTCGCGCAGGCGGTCAACCGCAGCTTGATTCGAAGCGCTTCCAACTTCTTTGGCGCCAACGTCTCATCCACATTGCCGTTTGAGGACCTCGAGGTGTTTCAAGGCAATACGCTCGTGTCGGGTCAATTTTTCAACCAATCGGCGCTCTTTCGAGACACGATTGGTCCATTCCAGAGCGTCGACAGCTTGTACGTCGACGCCCCGTCGGTCTTGGTCCAAGCGGTTCACCGCGCGAAAATTCAAGTGTCCAACGAGCTCCTCGATGTGATACCCTCTGTGACGCTACGCCTCACACCGCTTGCGTGGCGCGGCTTTGTGTACCATGGAGGCAACCTGCTCTGCACAACGCTACCGGGCACCACGTTTGTCCAGCAGTCGTTTGATTTCTTTGACGATTGCTCCAAGCCCAAGCCGCTTATCGTGACGTGGAGCTCTCTGGCGGCGGTATTCACTCGATTGGCCACGCTCAATGCATCGGTGCATGACATTTGTGAGGCAGCATCGTCGCCAACGGACTGTGCAGCGGCCGTCACGGCGACAGACCAGCTCTTGCAACAACAACTTGCAACGCCTTTCGACTGGACCCCGCCGACGATCGACCTGGACGTTCACTTGATGCAGTACGCGACTACAAGCAATGGCTCGTGGGTCGTCTTGCGTCAACACCTTCTCGAGCCCTCGTTTGCGTTTTTCGGGTGGGTTCTTCTTTACGATTGGGTCCTCGGCGAGCGTGAAGTGATTTCGTTTCAAGGTGACAGCGGTACTCTGACGCTCATCTCGAATGTATACGCGCCGTTATCCTACACGACGGGGACGCAGCCGCTACAGACGGCGACGCAGCTTCTCTACTACCTCGTGGTCCTCACTTCGATCCTTCTTGTGACCGTCGGTGGCCTCGTGCTCCTCTATGCCATCACGGCACGCGGTCGATTCAACGGTGTCAACCTCTTTTTTTTCAACCGCATTGCAGGCACCGTCTGGCTCGGTCGGCCATTACTGTTTCTACGGGGCGCCTCGGCCCTCGTGCTACTGAGCTCGGCCAATGCCTCGCTGACAACGGCCGCTTCCGGATGGACGCGGTTTGAGCCTTCACCGCGGAGCTGGCTCGCAGCCTTGATTGTGACGGGCGAGGCGACGTGGGTCACATACGTGGCCAACGACGTTGTGGGGCTCCAAGCGCATGACCACACGCGCTACTACAGCGCGCTCTCATGCCATGTGTCGTGGCTCGTTCTTTTTGCATTGGAGATGGTCAGTCCGGTTCAAGTGACTGGTGCCCTCCACCGCTCTTGTGTCGGTCTCGACATGGACTTTGGCGTGCGATGTGCGAGCGGCCTCATATTCACTGGCAGCATCTCTCGCATCGGTGCCATCGCTGTCATCCAAGCCATAGCGCTCGTACTCTATGGCGTCGCGCTCTTGCAAACGCGAAAACATACGTTCAATGACGGGTACGAGGCACCGCTGCTCCTCCACGGCAGCGCACGACGACTACTGACGCCAGCCCCGGACACGACGCAAACACTTTACGTCTTGGATCATGTGGCATGTGTGCTCGCTGGCTTGCTCCCCCTGCGGCTCGCTGGCAAGGCTTGTACGTTCGATATCAAACTGTGGCTGCTCCTGTACGACGACAGCTCGACGAGCGGCCGTCACAAGGCCCTGCCTCGTCCCATATTTACACCAGAAAAGCCCGTCGACGGGCCGCGGCTACCATTGGCCATGGTCGCACAGACTCTATCGGCGTGTACAACGCGCGCGTGCAAAGCTTTGGGACTGGGCTACGCGTTGGCGTCCATCGCTGGGTCCGTCTCGTACCTGAGTGTCTCCCGCGTCAACTTGGCCAACGACATTTTGTGGGCGACGTTCAATGCCACGGGCGCGCACGCGTTTGTAGCCAACTGGCTCAACGAACAGCTCGTTTTGGGCAATACGAATATGGCAAATGTATTGCTGGACTTGCCGAGTATTAACGCGATGGGATCCTTTGCCAATCCCACCGCACTCATCGCGTCGCCCGGCAACTACGGCGCCTACCTCCAGCACACGCTATTGAGCTCGATCGAGACGATAATCGACGGCCTCCGACGCTCCAAGGGGTGCGACGCCCCCTGGATCTTTTCCCCGTACTGCTATCTCGACTTGCAAAGGCAGTGGACCATGGCCAACTCGGCGACGCGGCAAGCGCGCTGCGATGCACGCATGACGACCAACGGGGCTGTCTATTTCGAGACTGTCTTGCGCAATGTGGACTATACAAGCTTTCACCGGTGCTGGGGTAGTAGCTTTGATATTGCGATTGGTACCGAGTTGCAGCAGTCGTCGAATGGTCGCGCGTGGCTGCAGATGGTCTCTGGCTTGAAACCAAGCACGCGTGACGAAGCCATCTATTGGCGGTCGTTTGGGCTCAAAACGTTCGAGACACAATGGCAAAACTACAAGCAACTCGGCATTCGCAACTCGTACTCGGTCATCAACGCCCTTGGCGTCGAGTACGCGCTCACGCTTGCTTCCCAGCGGGGCACCTACCGCCTTGGTAGCCAGACAACGTTCAAAATGTACTGGTCGCTCGCCAACGACCTCGCAGCCGTCGCTTCCAACGCATCTGGCATCGGTGGCCGCAGTCTTCTTCGATCGAGCGCCAACTATGCCTTTGCCAACACGAGTCTGGCCAGTGTCTATGTGACCACAGATATCCTTGCGTCGCCACTGCCACAAGGGCTTCAACTCTCGACAAATCGACTTGGCCCGTTTGGCTCGATTGACTTGGTCTATGTACCGCCACCCGAGGGTTTGCGTCAGCTCACAGCGTCTCTCCTCGAGCGGACGCGGGCGCCATTGTCGGGCAACCTATCCGCGCAAGCAACCTTCTTCAACATAACCCCATTGGACCTCTCTCGACCTGTGCCGGCCCTTTGGCGCTTGAGCAAACTCGTGGCCTTTGGCGGCTCGCCGCTGTGTCCCGAAGGCAGCGCGAGCCAGTCCCTTGTACCCATCACCGCCGGCCTTATAAGCGCTCTCAGTTTTGACGGTTTGTGCCTCACAACATCGGCCAACGTAGTCAAGATTCAGCCTACACGGGCGCAGTACATCGTGGGCGCCGTCCTCTCTCAGCTAGCACCAAGCACCGACGTGTCGCCCTTGTGTGCCCACGACCTCGCCTTTACACGGCAATGCCATGCTTACCTCGCTGCCACCTTGGCATATATCCACACATACATGCAGCTACCACCCTCGGTAGACGTCGACCGACTGACAGAGGAGCTCGCGGCGAAGGACATTGCGCTCATGATGTATGCCCGGACGGATGCAAATCCTGCGACGCCGCTACGACTCTATACGACAACACTCTTTGACGAGCCGTCGTTCCGCTTTTTCGCGTGGCTTTTTCTCTACGACTGGGTCGTTGGCGTGCGCGAAGTCGTGTCGTTTCATGGGGATACAAGCACATTGACGCTTCTCAGCGATATGGAAACGCCGTTGTCGCAGCCGACGCAAGCCTGGGAAGTCCCCGACAACATTGCGCGGTACCTGCACGTTGGTGTCCTCTACGTCACGGGCGTCATGATCTCGGTCTCGTCTCTTACGATCGTGTACATGGCCTTGACCCGCGGTTCGTTCGAGGGACTCAACATGCTCGAGCTCGGGCGCGTCGGCGGCATCGTCTGGGTCGGACGGCCGTTCTTGCTCTTACGGAGTATGACGGCCATCGTGGTCTTGTCGACAGCAACTCTGCAGTTGCAGTCCACGGGGTATATGAGTTTCTTTGCGACGGTCCGTGATCCGTGGTACAAGACCCTACTCGCCGCGAATGAAGTGACTTGGCTGATCACGATTGTCAATGACGTTCTACTCGTGGCGACGGGACCGTACGCGACTCGGTACGCGCTGTTGAACGCCGGTATCGTTTGGCTCATCGCAGCTCTTTTGACCCTTTGGTCGCCAGTGACAGCAACCTTGTCCGTCGACCTCCAGTGTCATTTCGAGACCGTTGACTTTCAAATAAATTGCACGTCGGGCTCGATTGTGATTGGCTCAGTGTCGCGCGTGGCACTGCTGATTGGTGTCGTTTTGATCTCCCACGGTGTCTGCTACGTGTTTGTGAAAAGCTGCCTGCCCCCGCCATGCTCAACAATGACGTCGTCGCTCTTTCTCACGTCGGGCGCCAAATATTTGTTTGCGCAATCCAACTGGATGCACAATAATGTCTACTATGTGGACCGCGCGTCCGCGGCGCTCGACGGTCTCTTGACACTGCGTTGGGGCTCGTCTATGATTGTGCTCGATGTCAAGACGTGGCGCCTCTTTGCGATTCCATTGGACGCAATACCCCCACGTGCACTGGCGGCAGCGCTTCCACTACGGCGATAAATAGTACAACAATTGTAATTTATCGATTTACCCCATTTTCTACACATGCACCCATGTCAACCGACAGCGGAGACTGGCTCGCTTGCGGACGAGTCCGTGATTTCTTGGCCTGGTGCATCGTTTGAGGACGCTGCGGCACTCGGCGTCGTCCTTGATTGTGAAAATAAAGCCATTTATCACGATAGTTAAGGACTCTTTTGTGCGTCGGCATGGCCATCGACAGAGGAATGGAAAATACTTGAATGTCGTCGGAGCAGCGAAATCAGGTCGAGGATTTGAACGCGTGCAGGTCTGCCACGTGCTTCCAATCAAAACCCCGTCCGTTATTAATGTCGCGCATGTCAAAGACTGCCAACTAAATGACGAACGCATCGTTGCAATTTCTGCGGCGCTCTGTGATGCGCACCGAGCCTCGTCACCGTTTGAGCTCGTTCTGGTCTCGACACGCTACAGCACTCCCAACAAGGGTCAGTAAACTGTTCATTGACCCTTGGTCCCAAATCGTGGTTTCGGTCGTCGCCCGGGGCAGGTGAGGTCCTTGCCGACGTGCTTCGTAATGTCCGATCCGGAATTGCGATCGCTAGTAATTTCTAATGTACCGGTATGCAGAATCCACTGCAGCGCTGAGCGTTTTCGGTCCATTGGAGCTTGCCACGTGTCTCCAATCACATCACACCACTTTGCGTGTTTTTATCCAATCATGGCGTGTCTTTGCAGTGTGGTCGGAAGAAATCTGCCATGCAGAAGGGGGCGATGGCCGTCGTCCACACGGGCGCCTTTGTGCGCATCATCCTCCAGTACTTGGCCTCGCCCAACGACGTCCTCGCGCTGCTGCAGGCGCTGCCACGTCATGCGCTCGATGCGCCATTGGCGGCGCTCCGGACGCTCGTGGTCGCGGCCTGGGACACTCTCCGATTGGAGTGGCCACACGTCCGCATTGAGGCCATGCCTACAAGCTGCTTGGGCATCACGCTCGCTGCGCTACCGCTCTTCCAGTCGATTCGCATCCGGTCGCTGAGCAGCCTCAACGCGGTGCTCTGCGACGCCTGTGGCGAGCTAGAGCTCACAGCTCATGCGCCATTGGAAGCGACGATTGCGTTCGCATCCGTATGGGGCCACAAGATCGCGTCCATGCACGTGGAGCCGTGGCTGCACGCCGACGACAAAGACGCACTTGCGCACATTCTTGGTCTCTGCACGGGCCTCGACGAGATCTCCATCCAGGCCGACGATGCCGATCAGTCATTGCTTGCAGCGGTCCTGGGCGCGCAGCATGCCACGCGTGTCTCTCTTTTCTCACTGAAGATGGGCGACTGCGAGTGTGGCGACTGGCGACCGCTCTTTGCCGAGTGGCTTGCGTCGGGCCGAGCGGCGCACCTCTCTCTCAACGGGTTTCGATGCGGTGACAACGATGGCCTTGCAAGGGCCATTGCCGCCACGGCGACGCTCACGAGCCTCGCCCTTGTCGACGTCGACAGCGTGCTGGAGAGCTTTGTACATGCCGTGATCCCGCTACCGCACGTGACGCAGCTATGTCTATCGACATCGGCTGCCGACGATGTGATCGTTAAGGCCTTTCTGACCCGCGTGGTCCATCGCTCGAAGCTGGTCGAGCTCGAGATCCAAGCTGAGAACGCATCGGACTTGACGTTTCTCACTGCGCTCCTGCCGCAACTCGACACGCTGCAAAAGCTCGTATTGAAAGATTGTGATATGCACATTGCGCCCGTCTTGCGCTCCTCGACGTCGTGCCTGCAGATGCTGCACATGCACACTTGTCGCATGGCCGACGAGGCAGTCTTATGGCTGCTTGCGTGGGCGTCCACGTCGCCGGCTCTAACGACCGTTCAATTTGACGCGATACCGACGCCGCAGAGCCAATATTTGGATCGCTTTTGTCAGTATCTTGGCCAATGGATCGCTGCCGGCGTCGAGTGCGTCACGCTCCGCGACTGCCGATTGGACGAGATGAGCGTCATGGCCATTGAGTCGGCGCTTCGCCACGCACGCCGGTCGTCTTCGGCGTTGTTGGTACTCGATCTATCGGAAAATCGGCTGCGACTTGCGTCCTACAAGGTGCTCTTGGATGCCCTTGCCACGTGCACTGGTGTTCGCCTGCAACGCAGCCATTCCAGGCGCTTACGACGCACCGATCGCGCCCACATTGACGCGTGGGTGACCGAGCTCGGTCTGCGGTCCGAGCTCTCTAGTCGTTGTACGTTTTGCATTTCTAGTCCCACGTAATCGCTCTTGATGCGTTTTATACACTCGTGTGTATTTTCGTCTCCGGATAAACGACTGTGACGGTAGGACCTTCCAATGACAAGTTGTACGTCAGGTTACCAGATGCGGTACGTGGCATGACACATTTACTAAGGGAATGTTTCCGACTGGGGCCATTGAGGTGCTAGTATCGAATTGCATCCGTCCTACAATAGTATTCAGTCCACAGTCCATCGAGCTATTCAACACGTTAATACATGTGCATTAGTGTGGCTGCTCAGCACATACATGTATGACCGTGCGAATGGCGCTGTCAAGCTCCAAACACGTCCGTCAAAGTCGCACAGTGTAATCAAAGTACTAGTTGACGAATCGACCGGTACAGTAGTTCAACATAAAACTCCTTTCCACTCTAACGACCTTGACAAGTACACATCCGGTCGTGTCCCTCGCTTTCATGCCTTCGCCATTTGGAGGCGCGCCATGTGCCACCAATCAGCGTGCAGCAGCGGTTTCATCGAGCCAGATTTCAGATCTCAGATCTCAGATTTCAATGGACCACCCCGTGGCCACACGTTCTCGTTCCGCACCGATCTCGGTCTGCCACGCTGGTGTCCTTGTGCACGTCGTTCAATGCTTGCGCTCAATCAACGACGTCGTCTCGCTGCTCGACGCGCTGCCACGTCATGCGCTCGACGCGCCATTGACTGCGCTGCACAGTCTCGTGACGACCTTAAACACCTTGTGCGATGTCAATAGGTACTGGCCGCAGGTTTGCATCGAAGACGTTGATCGTCGCTACATTCCTACGCTGCTCGCAGCGCTGCCGATCTTTCGGTCGATTACCATCAAGCGTGAGCTCACCAAGGAGCTACGACGAAGCGCCATCCACGAGCCTATGATGACTCTGTACGCAACTGCACTCGCATTTGCATCCAAGTGGGGCCACAAAGTCGAGTCCATCGTCGTCAAACTGCGAGACATGATGGAGGCCACGGACGCGCTCCCGCGCTTTCTCGACCTCTGCACCGGCCTTGACTCGATCGTTGTCAACGTCGACACGTCGGATGTGGCGTTTGTCGCTGCTACAATCCGCGCCGCGCAGCGCGTCACACGCATGCATCTTCTATCGTACAAGGAGGGCGGGTTCAACGGCGGCGACTGGCGTCTGCACTTGGGCGCGTGGTTGGCGTCGGGGCATGCGACGCATCTGTCCCTCAAGAACATTGCATGACGTGACTCTGTCGGCTTTGCACGAGCGACCGCAGCTTCGAACTCGCTTACGAGTCTCAAGCTTGACTGCGCCTATGGCTTGCTGCAAGGCCTGGTGGACGCCGGTATCCCGCCAAAGGCCCTCACCGAGCTGCGCCTTACGCTTTCCGAGGACGAGACGTGTGCTGAACCATTCTTGACCAACTTGATTAATCTCTCGGCGCTTGAAACCCTGGAAGTTGTCTCTGTCATCGAATTGGACGCGACGTTTGTCATGGCGCTGCTGCCGCGTCTGGTCAAGCTGCAAGAGCTCACGATCAACTTTTGTGGGCTGCACGCCGTGCACGCCGCACCGGCACCGAATTATCTCCGGACGCTCAATGTATCACATTGCAACATGAGCGACGAGACGTGCCTCAGTCTCTTGGATTGGGCCTCACAGTCGCCGTGCCTACAGACCGTGGCGCTCAACATGTGCCGCACGGTGCGCAGCAAGCCGGAGCTCTTTGGCCGCTATCTTACCCGATGGATCACTGGCGGTGTCGCTTCTGTCGTTCTCGACCGCTGTGTATTGGATGAGACGAGCATTCTTGCGATTGCAAATGCGCTTCGCCACTCGCGCCGGTCGACGCTGTTTACGCTCTCGCTGGACGTGGAGCGATTCAATCTCGAATTGTACCGCATGCTCTTCGAAGCACTCGCTACGTGCACCGGCGTGGGCATCCGCGGACATGGTGCGATACTACACAGCCGCAACGACTGCGACCAAATCGAAACTTGGGTGTCCGAGCTGGGTCTGTACTACGACAAATGTGGGTTTGTCCTGCACTTTGACAGCCCCTCGTAGTTGTCACGTAACTTGGGAAGTACATGTATTTCATACGCGCCGTCGTCGCAATACCGCTGATGAACGCTTCACATTTAATGCAAAAGTTCCCTACTACTCGCCCCGCAAGGGACATGTGTGAAATGGCATGACCAAGCGACCATGTGTTGCACCAATGGCGATCGTCAGCATCCTCCTCCACATCGTGCCATGCTTGTCTTCAAGGATGTCCTCTGTCTGCTCGACGCTCTGTCCCGTCAAGCGAGCCACCTCGGTCTGAACGGGCACAACCGTAAGGACAACTCTCGGCTTTGCACGCGCGATCGCTGCCGCCACGTTGCTCACGAGTCTTCAGCTTAGCATCGCCTCGGAGGTGCTGCAAAGCTTGGTCGACGCTGCCGCCCCGCTCCAGGCCATCAAGGAGCTGCGGCTTGCCTTGTCCGACGACGACGTCTGTGCCGCCGCGTTTCTGGCCCGTGGCTCAATCTCTCGGTGCTTCAAAACCTTCACCTCTTTGCCGATGACACCTTGGATGCAACGTTCGTTTTGACGCTGCTGCCCCGTCTCAACTTTCTTCGAGAGCTCTATCGTTTTTTGCGCACGGCACGCGATGCGATGCTCGCGTTGCTACAGGCGCCAGCGCCGGTTCACCTGCGGAAGCTGGATGTAGCCTATTGCAATATGGATGACGACACTTGGCGTGGCCTATTCCATTGGGCCTCACAGTCACCGTGCCTCGACAAAGTCAGGCTCGTCAAGTGCAGCATGGAGAGTCGCGATCCGGAGCTGTTTGCCGGCTACCTTGGCCGCTGGGTCACTGCCGCGTCATGTTTGTCAACCTCGAAGACTGCGATGTTGACGAAAAGAGCATTTTTGCGATTGCAACAGAGCTCCGCCACACGCGTCGGGCATCGACGTGTCTACTGTGCGTCGAATTCGCAACGGAAGGTCTCGCTTCGTACCGCGTGCTGTTTGAAGCACTTGCCACGTGCACGGGTGTCGCCCTCGAGGTGCGTCAAAGCTCCAATCCCTTGCGCGAGAAAATGACCGAGCTCGGTCGACGCTGCACCTACGAGTTGACCACCGCCGCTGTGGTGCTGCATTGATCCTCCGTACGTAGCCCATTCCCATATTGAATGCACAGGCTTTGGATTCGAGTTTGCAACTGGCGCCTGGTTTGTCCAATCAAAAAGCAGTCCATTTCTACATTCCTTTCGTCCAATCAAAATGCACCCAGCACTCTGACTGGCATTTTTGAGTTGACCAAAAGCATGAGCAAGCGGCCTTGCGTGGCGCCGAAGGCGGTCGTCCACCACACTGGCGTCGTTGCCCACATCGCCCACTGCTTGGCTTCGACCAAGGACGTCCTCTCGCTGCTCGAGGCGCTGCCACGTCACGCGCTCGACGCGCCATTGGCTGCGCTCCAGACGCTCTTGACAACACCAGAGACCTTGCGCGTCGTAGCGAGGTACTGGCCGCGGGCCTGCATCGAAGAGTTTGATGGTGGCGACACTGTGACGGTGCTTGCTGCGCTGCCAATCTTTCGCTCGATTTCCATCGAGCGTCTTCAGAAGCTCCACGATGTGCTCCGAGACGCCAGCAGCGAGCCTGCGACGACTTTGTACGCAGCCACGATCGACTTCGCTTCCAAGTGGGGCCACAAAGTCGCGTCCATCGACAACATAGTACTGAGAGAATCTGACGACATGGACGCACTCCCGCGCACTCTCCGGCTTTGTACGGGTCTCGACTCGATCGACGTCAGTATCGACACGTCGGATGCGGCTTCTGTTGCAAGTATTTTGCATGCGGCGCAGCACGTCAAGCGCATAACACTCTCAGCGCACAGCGACAACGGGTACGACTGCGGTGACTGGCGACCGCTTTTTGCCGATTGGCTTGCGTCCGGACATGCGACGCACCTCTGCCTTGACCGGCTCATGTGCGATGACACTGTCGGCTTTGTACGAGCCATTGCAGCCGCGACGTCACTCACGAGCCTTCACCTCGACAATGCCTCACGCTTGATGCAAGGACTCGTTGACGCCGCTACCCCGCTCAAGGCCATCACGCAGCTACGCCTTTGCGTGCCACACGACGACATTTTCGCCGAGCCATTCGTGTCCAGCTTGGTCAACAGCTCGGCGCTTCGAACCCTCGAGCTCGACACTCTAAGCGAAAACGGACCCGAAGTCGACTTGTCGTTTGTTCTGACGCTGCTACCGCGACTCGTCGTGCTCGAAAAACTCTCGATCGAGACGTGTGTGCTGCGCGCCGAGCCTGCGTTGCTTGTGGCGCCGGCGCCGCGCCACCTGCGGACGTTGAATGTGCAGTATTGCGTCATACAAGACGACGACATGTGGCTTGGTCTTTTCCATTGGACCTCGCAGTCGCCGTGCCTCACGACCGTCACGCTCAATTTTTGCAACCTGGTGTCCAACAAGCCGGCTCTTTTCGCTGGCTACCTTCGCCAATGGATCACCGGCGGCGTCACTTCTGTTGATCTCGTCAACTGTGATCTGAACGAGAAGAGCGTCATTGCCATTGCGACCGCGCTCTGCCACACGCACCGCACGTCGTCGTCGACGTTCAGACTGTGGCTCGACTTTGACCCACTACTAGTAGGTCTCAACTCGTACCAAGTGCTTTTTGAGGCACTCGCCACGTGCACGGGCGTCAAGATCGAGGTGTTTCAAGACCGGTCTTTAGAGCGTGAAAGGATCACCGAGCTTACGTCGGCGCTGCATCTGCGACTTGAAGCCATCGACACGCAAAGAATTATCGTCTACAGCCCCTAAAAAGCATTGATCGATGTAAACCTCAACTTTGGAAATTTGAACAAAGGGCCTAGAAACTGTCTGGGCACTGCTTGCATCAAGGTTTGCGGCGACACTAACTGCGTGTATTCCCTGAGCGAAACGCCAGCCTGCCGCGTATCACCAATCCGAATGCAGCAAATGCTCCATCAATCATTCATTTTGTCCAATCAAAATGCATCCAGCAATCTATCTGGATATTGCACTCTTTTTGGTGTGATGAGCAAGTGCGTGGCGCCAATGGCGTTGTCCAACCCGGCGTCGTCGTCCACATCGCCCACTGCTTGGCCTCGCCAAAAGACGTCCTCTCGCTGCGTGAGGCGCTGCCACGTCATGCGCTCGACGCGCCATTGGCTGCGTTGCATACGCTCTTACTGACGCCCAAGCTTGCGCGCCGTCGATTCGCACTGGCCACGCATCTGCATCGAAGACTACGATCCTCGCAACACTGCGATCGTGCTGACTGCATTGCTGATCGTTTGCTCGATTTCCGTCTAGTCCCTTCATGAGCTGCACGAGAGGCTCCGAGAGGCCAGCAGGGCGCCCAAGATACTGGTATCTCCGTACGCTGCCACGATAGACTTTGCATCCAAGTGGGGCCACGCCATCGCGTCCATCCA